CGCTGCCCCGCCCCAGGGCAGGGACACAGAAGATGCCAGGCGGAAGCAAGCTGGCCCACGGCTGGGACCCAGTGGGCACTGAGAGCCAGCAGGGCCCCACAATGGCCCCTGACTCTGTCTGCCCTCCATGGCTGAAGGCTGGCAGCAAGGCGAAAGGGGCGGGCTACCCCTGGCCCCCAGGAACAGAGTCATCTGCTCCATCCCCCAACTCCCAGGGAGCCAAGTTTGCCTGGGAGAGCGCGGGCTCCGGCCTGGAGGTCTGCCCTGAAGCCATCTACGGGACCCAGGAGATCCACGTCAACGGGGCCGTGGTGCTGGCCTTCCAGCTGTACTACCACGCCACCCAGGTGAGGTGTCACTGTGCCCACAGGGGCAACCCTCCACACTGCACGACTGCCTGTCTGGGCCAGTCCTGTGGAGCATCTCGGAGCCCGGCCTTCATTGCTGGGCGCTTAGAAGGGTGGGCCTTGACGAGAAATGCAGTGACCAGTGGGAGCTAGAATCACAGGTGCCATGGCCTCTGACATACCCCCTCCTGCCCCTCAGGACTTGGAGCTCTTCCGAGAGGCTGGTGGCTGGGATGTGGTCAGGGCCGTGGCTGAGTTTTGGTGCAGCCGTGTAGAGTGGAGCCCTGAGGAGAAGAAGTACCACCTGAAGGGTGAGAGCATGGCTGTTGCAGAAGGAATGTGGGTGATGGGGAAGGGACGTGGAGCGTGGACGGTCATGAGTGGAGGGGCAGGCAGACTCATGGGACTGCCAGCCCCACAGTGGTGACTGGGCCGGGGCATGTCCCTAAGCCCGTCCATGAAGTACCATCTTGCCTTCTGTGCCCAGGAGTCATGCCACCTGATGAGTACCACCCAGGGGTCAACAACTCTGTGTACACCAACGTCTTGGTCCAGAACAGGTCAGACCCCACCCCGCCTCCACCGCGAAGGGGAAGGAGTGTGGTGGCTGCAGCCCACTTCCCCCTGCCCCCACCCCTGCCCCCTCCCCCGCCTCACCCCTGCCCTGCCACCTGTGCTCCTAGCCTGCGCTTTGCTGCTGCCCTGGCCCAGGACCTGGGGCATCGTGTCCCCACCCAGTGGTTGGTGGTGGCTGATAAGATCAAGGTGCCCTTTGACTCGAAACTGAACTTTCACCCTGAGTTTGACGGGTACAAGCCTGGTGAGTGGACTTGCAGCTCCTTCAAGGCCCGTCTCTCCTCCTGCAGGACCTTATGTCCACCCTGGATGCCCCCTTCCCAACAGAGCAGTCCCCACCCTGCCCGCACCCCTTCGGCAGCACCTCGCTCTCCCCCCCAGGAGAGGAAGTGAAGCAGGCAGATGTTGTGCTCCTGGGGTACCCTGTCCCCTTCCCCCTGAGTCCCCACATTCGCAGGCAAAACCTGGAGATTTATGAAGCTGTGACGTCCCCCCACGGTCCCGCCATGACCTGGGTAAGGAGACTGCGGGGCGTGGGTTGGTGGTCCTCACAGCACCTTGGCACTGTCCCGCTGGCCTCAGTGTCCCCTCCTCCTGCTGTGGGCCTCATGCCAGCATGTCCTCTAACCCCAGAGCATGTTTGCAGTGGGCTGGATGGAGCTGAAGGACCCAGGGCGAGCGTGGGCCCTCCTGGAGAAGAGCTTCGCCAATGTCACGGAGCCCTTCAAGGTCAGCCTGGGCCCAGCCTGGACCTCCATGTTCACCATGCCCAGCCCTGCCCTGACCACCTTGCCCCCTGCAGGTGTGGACGGAGAATGCAGACGGATCAGGTGCTGTGAACTTCCTGACAGGCATGGGGGGCTTCCTGCAGGCAGTGCTCTTTGGGGTCACAGGGTTCAGGTGAGTGCAGCAGCAGCAGAGGGTGATCGCCTGCTGCCCCTTGCCCTCCTCACAAAGCCTTCCCTTCCCCAAGGATCACCGCGGCCGGTCTGACCTTCGACCCCACGTGTCCGGTGGGGGTCTCTGGAGTGTGTGTCTCTGGCATCTCCTACCAGGGGAGCAGGCTTAACTTCTCCCTCTCTGCGGGCTTCGTGACAGTCGAGGTCACGGCCCAGGCGGGGCGCTGGGCCCCGTCTCTGGAAGCCGAGTTGTGGCCGTCGCGGACTCGGCTGCCCCTGCCTCCAGGTAGGCCCCCCCAGACCCCCCCAAGGCGGCCCCAGTGTGTGCCGTGCCCCACGATGCTCCTCTCTCTGCAGGACGCAGAGTCTGCTTTCCCTGCTCAGCGGGCCGGATACAAAGGTCAGGCCTGTAGGCCGCACAGGCCGCACGCACTGCCCCACGAGCTTCCTGGGAGGCTTTCTGAAGATGTTGAACATCTGCCCCGAGCCCACAGGCCCTGCTCTGGGACACCCTTGGGCCCTGAAGCTCCATGAGCCCCTCCCCAGGCCCCCTCCCCGCAGACAGCCAGGGCTGCCCCCCGGCCATGCCCCCCGTGGGTGCCCCCGAGTGGCTGTACCCGTCCCTTCTCAATGCCCTCCTGGACCCCCACCCGCCTCCATGTGGTAGCCAGGCTCCTGTGGCCTGAGTTCAAGCCTCTGCCTCCAGCCGAGCCCCCAGTGACCCCCGTGGACAGGCTGCTTCCCTGCTGCTCAGCCCCTTCACGCCCTTCCCGAGGGGCCAGTTCTGCGGAGAAGACTGAGGCAGGTGTGGGCCTCGCTGGGGAGGACCACGGGGTACAGGGCGTGGGGAGGACTTAAGACCTGGGTCGCAGCTTCACCACAAAGAGCTGTGTGTCACACGCCTGAGCCCAGGTGCTCCTGGACTCTCTGGAGGGCCCAGCACCCTCAGTCCTTGGCTTCTCTTGCTGCTGGGCCACTTCGGTCACAACTGATGGTCTCTGTCACATGCCTTCCTCTAGGAAGGAAGGGGTGTGGGGTGTGGAGCAGGGCCCTCTCCCCCCAACCAGCTGGAAGGATGGGGCCGTGGCGCTGGGCCTGCCCGGCCTGGGCACAGAGCCTTGGCCAAGGCCCCACCCGCTGTCTGCTCTGGGCCTGATCCCCCCAGCTGGCACAGCTGACTTGGGCTCTCGGGTCTTCCAGGGTGGGACGGTGTCTGCTGGGGAAGTAAAGCTTGGTGCCGGGCAAGCTGTGTTTGTGCTGAGGAGCCGATGGGCACCCTCCTGAAAGGGAGGCTCTCGTCAACGGTCAGGTTTCCCTTCCCTTGCTCATGTGGAGCAAGTAAGAGGGTCCCATCACGTCTGCACCTGCCTCCCTCCCCACTCCCCCCCACCACCCCTGCCGCCTTCGTCTAGCAAACTACTGCTCTCCGTTCTCAATGGAGAATTAACGTGAGTTCTCCCAAAAGCAGATACCAGCAGGTAAACTGTGATAGACTGAAGCACCTGAGGAAGAGAGGACGGGGCTGGGCAGAGGAGCTGGGGTCACCAGGGCCTGCCTGCGTGCGGCTGCAGGGAGCGTGGCCGAGGTGCAGAGCAGCTTCCTGAGTGCACGTGGCCTCAGAATGGAGTCAGCGCTTGATGGGGCTCCCCCGGGTGCCCACAGGCTCTCATCCAGCTGCTGGCAGTCCAGCAAAGGCCCAGGAGGTCTGCTGAAGCCAAGGATTTAGGCCACGGATGGTCCCCATGAAGCAGACACTTTCCTTTGCAGCCCTGGACCCAGATGTGGGCACAGGCATTAGGTGGGGGTAGTAGGTGGCCCTTTGTCCACAGGACTAACATAACCTGACATTTCCCCAGGCGTGTGTGCCATACATGTGTATGTGCGCGCGCACACCCACCTGTGCAGGGGAAGGGGCAACCCTTTGAGGGGCCTTAACAGGGTGGCAACACATGTATGCTGCCTGGCTGATCCAGTCTGTGGCAACCCACTGTCTAAACTTGACCAGGTCGCTTCCTGGGGCAGGAAGCATTACTGGTGACCTTCATCTGTGCCTGGCTTGACTGCACATTCTCTGTCCTCACACCTGGGTAAGGGCTGGACACTCTGCTTCCCTCACCAAATGTGGGGACCAGCAGACCACCCCCTGCTTAGAGACATGTATTTGACCACGCACAGGGTAACCCCAGCTCCCAGCCTGTGTCCAGCATGGGCTGTTCCCTTCCTGGGCCAGACCTGGAGCTTAGTGTTGAAACACTGCTTCCGTGCTAGTCTGAGCACTGGCCTTGTTCTTGGTCCAGTGTAGGACCAGCGCCCAGGAAGGGGCAGAACTCCACCTTCACCCCAGGACCCTCCAGCACAGCCTCTGTCTCGGGCTGGCTCAGAGCAGCACACACTCGGCATGGGGCTGGGGCACCGCTGGCCTGCAGCTGGGACTCGTCACTGATGGCATGTGGTGGAGACAGCTCGGCCAACTGTTGGCTGTCACAGGAGGGGGGCCACTCTAGGGGCTCCAAGTACAGCAGCTCCACAGAGACCTCCACCCCCAGCCCAGGCCGGGTGGGAAGGGACCATGGGTGGGGTGCTCGAAGCCCTGAGCCACCCTGTGGTTAAGGCCCCTGCAATTAGCCCGCCCTGTCATTGGCCTGGCCACAGCACGGCCCCAAGGGCCTCGCCCCAGCCACAGAGTGTGCATGTGTGTTTAGCAGCCCCCTTCTCTGGGTCTGGTAGGAGGCTGCATGGGGAGGTAAAATGATACAAGAACATGCACATGTGCCAAAGACAACACTTAGAAATGTCCTCACCCCAAGTGTCTCCCTCTGTACAATCATGCATGTGTGTGATGGGCATGTGCAGAGATGGTGGTGTGACCATGCCTGTCTGCTTGTGTGTCCAGCCCCCTTGATCCAGGAGGGAGGGAACCCACTGCTGGGACGGAGATCAATCAAAATTAAAGGATTGTGAGGTCAGGAGGACAGAGTGACACAAAGAAGGAGGTCAGCAAAGGCCCAGCCACAGACAGGAACGTGCAGGACAAGGACGGATCTCACTGGCCAATAAGATCTCATTTAACACGCGTGCACACGCGCTGACTCAGGGATGGGCACACACGTGGACTCGGAGACTCACCACACATGTTCTGGAAGAGAGGCCACTAAACCACAGCATGGCAGAGATCAAAAACCCAAGTTCCCCAACTTCATTCTAAAATACTCGAGCGCCTCCGCCCAGAAGCCGCAGGCTGCCTGGTGCCTGAACGAAGGGGACAGTCAGGGCACGGCCAAGCCAGCAGGACAGGGCGGCCCACCGCAGATGCTGGGGGAAGTCCAGGGGGACTTGGTTGTGGTGGTCCCTAGGGGAGCTCCCCTCAGGAAGACGCCCTCCCCAGCCCCAGCCAGGAACAGTCCCAGAAGGCACTTTCTGGAACCAGGTCCTTTTAATTGAACAGCTGAGCCTGGTGAGTGGGAAGGGAGGAGCTGGCCTGAGGGCCGGGGGTTAGGGAACTGGGGGCATCGAGCTGAGGGGAAGCCCCTGAGGCCCGAGCAGAAGACCTTCAGAGTCAGTGTTAGGTGCCCGGGCTAGGGCGGGGGTGGGCCTCAGCCTGTAGATGGTCAGGGTTCCAGGGGGCTGGGGTAGAGACCCGGGGTTGGGGTCCCTGATCAGGACAGGGACAGGGCCCAGCCTGTCAGTCATAGTCGGAGTCATCGAACTTGGTGCTGAAGAAGGCGGCGGAGCCCTTGGCCAGCCGAGACAGGTGCAGGGCGCCGGTCACCACCAGCACCAGCAGCAGCAGTGGCGGCACCAGCGCCCACATTGTGGCCAGGATGTTGTAGCACTTGGCTTTGGAGCCGAGACGCCGGGCTGCCTCCAGATCTCCAGCCACCTTCTGGTCTCGGGCCTGTGGACCAGCAGCAGGGCCAGGTCTCTACACGTTCACAGGGACTGGGGGCCCCGCCACTCCCATCCCAGGCAGCCACTGGGTCCACACCTTGGGGGATCCATGCTGGACCCAAACCCTGGATGGAGGGGTGAGGCCTGAGGGGATACTGTCTGGGCTGGACTCACTTCCTTCACTGTCCCCAGCTGGACACATGGGCTTGACCTTCCTTGGGGGGTCTTGGGTGGTAAAAGGTCCAGCCTAAGGTGGGGCTGAAGGCAGCCTCTGCACCCTCCCACTCCAGTTAATGGACCCAGTGGCCATCCCAAGCCAGCATCTATCTACCTTCCAGGATCCCCGAGGGTAGGGAGTCCTCACTGATGCTGGGAGGCTGCCACCACAGGAGCTGAAGCTAGGCAGCTGTGCTAACAGGAGCCCCCGTGTGTGAAAAGCCCCATTTGAAAGAAAAGAGCTCCTTGGGTAAGGCCCCATCTACTCTGGGTCCTTTGGGAAAGATTAGACACCCCCCTTCATTTTTATGAACAGCAGTCAGACTCAGAGGCCCTCTGGGAGGCAGGCCTCCCCCCACTGTCAGGCTGGAGGACACCCAGCAGAGTCCTCCTGCACCCCCTTGATAAGCAGCCCCCCTGAAATGCTCCTGGGCCCCCACGAAGCCCCCCAGGCCCACCTTGATGGAGTAGGCCAGCGCCAGGAAGCCGAGGCAGCACAGGTTCAGGTAGAGGGTGCTGAACACGGACCAGATCAAGTGGTCTCGAGGTAGGGGTCGGGGCGCCCCCAGCGTCAGGGCCGTGTGGGTGTTGCCGTCGGCCTTGCGGGGCGTCGGGGCCCGGGGGTCCTCGCGGGGGTACGACGTGTCCATGGGTTCCAGCGCCGTCTCCTCGCTCGGACTCCTGCTTCAAGGGTGGGCGCCCCGCCGCTTAATAGCCCCCGCCGCAGCCCGGCTGACCGGCCCGCCGCTAAATATAACGACAAATGACAGCCCGCCGAGCGCCGCCCCGCCCGCCTCGCCGGCGCGAGCCCACCGTCCGCCCCGCAGGGAGCCCCGCCCCTCAGAGAGCTACCCCCTCACCGGGAAACGCTACCCCACAGGCTGGCAGGCGGTGGGGAGCCGCCAGGGCCCCCCCCATCCTGGGGTCCGGCTAGGAAGCCCCCATCCAAGGCGGCTGGCCGAGGCACGCGGTGGCTGCGTTCTGCCCACCAGAGCCCCCTCCCCCGCGGACAAAAGGAGGTGGAGGCGCTGGACCAGGGCCGCTGTGGCTGGGTGGCTGCCTTGGCTTCTGCTGTCCTCGGCACTGCCTAGATCACCGTCTGATCACCCGTGTCCAGCCTTAGGGGTATGACAGTTCCCGTGAGTGCCAGGGGGAGGAAGCAGGCCACGTCCAGGTGGAACTTTGACGGTGCTAAGGAGAAAACGCAGTGTGGAGAGAGAAAGCCGGGGGTGCGCACGGTGGGGGACTGGCTGTGACCGGGCCTTGCTGTTGGAGGCTGCAGTGAGCCCTCCTCTTTCATGGCAGGCAGCTGCCGCTCAGGCCGGCTGCTTCTTCCTCCCCAGTCCAGAGCTGTTTGTGGGGGATGAGCTTTTTATATCTTAAGCCTGGTCTCATCTCCCTCCAGAGAGCCCAGCTGCATCTGTGTGCTGGCGAAGCACATGTATGTCAAGAGCCAGATTGGATATGAAAGTTGGACTATAAAGAAAGCTGAGTACCAGTGAATTGATGCTTTTGAACTGTGATGTTGGAGAAGACTCTTGAGAGTCCCTTGGACTGCAAGGAGATCCAGCCAGTCCATCCTAAAGGAAATCATCCCTGAATCCACATTGGAAGGACTGATGCTGAAGCTGAAACTCCAATACTTTGGCCACCTGATGCGAGGAACTGACTCATTGGAAAATACCCTGATGCTGGGAAAGATTGAAGGCAGGAGGAGAAGGGGAAGACAGGATGAGATGGTTGGATGGCGTCACTGACTGATGGATGTGAGTTTGAGCAAGCTCCAGGAGTTGATGATGGACAGGAAAGCCTGGCATGATGCAGTCCATGGGGGTCACAGAAGTCAGACACGACTGAGCGACTAAACTGACTGACCGACTGAGATTCGCATAACCGAGTGCCTGCTCCGTGGAGGAGGGCTCCTGGGCTCTCCAGCCTGCTCCTCTAAGGGAGACCTCAGCTCCCAAACCTTCTGTCTGAGTTAGGACTGCTATAGCTAATGCTCAGACCAGTGACTCATAAATAATAGAAATGTATCTCTCACTTCTCTAAAGGCTTGAAGGTCCGAGATGAGGGTGCCAGCATGGATGGGCCCTCGTTAAAGACAGCCTACTTCTCCCTGCTCCTCACTGGTGGAAGGAGCTGGGGTAGGGATCCACCCTCATGACCTACTAACCTCCTAATACCATCACTTTAGGATTTCAGTAGGAATTTGGGGGAACACAAGCATTCAGTCCACTGTACCCTCTGCTCAGTCCCCGCCCCCGGCAGAGGAGGTGGCCACAGGCCACTCCACCCATCCAGCTCCACCCATTCCCGTGCCCCTTCTGCCCCTCACACCGAATCCACTTGGTCCCAATTCCAGAATGGGCAGACTCTCAGCACCACTGAGACCAAGTCAAACTTCCTTCTCCTGGATTAGTGCAGCCCCTCTGCATTCTCTCTACAGCAGCCAGACAGGTCCTGTTACAGCAGAAAGCACGTGTTCCATTCGACTTCTTTGATTCAGGAACCTTTGCTTTCAGGTCCACCTCTTGTGTGATCTTATCTATTTGGAATATCCCTCATAAATGGCCATTCTATTCTAGGTTGTTTTAGTAAGACTTTGCCATTTTTGTTATATATACAGCTTCTGGGACAGCAGTTCTTAGATATAAAATGAACAGTGTGCCAGCAGGTGGCGAGCTCCTTTCTTATATCTAACCCTTGGGTTCTCTCTGAGACAAACTAATACCTCAAAGGAACTTGCCTCTGAGATGCAGATTGTGCGCGATTCGTGGTGTACCTTGCTGCTCAATTTTCTTGGGTTTGATGAGCGATCTGGAGTCAATACAACCAATTCCATGATCAATCTATCCTAACATGTGAGTCCTTAGGTCAGGAGGCAAGTGGTGTAACAACTCTTAAATGCTTAATCTGCACTACCAGTTTTTGCTGATTGTTTTTCTAACTTGAAAGTTCTGCATTCCCAGTAGGATCTGCACTAGACCCAATCCAGCTTAAACTGGAAGACGCTCATTTTGAGATCCAGTTCAGTTTTTAAATGAGACCCAGCCTGACTCCAGATGGTAAACACCAACAGTTCCTAACGTGCAGTCTGAGGGCTGGGAGAGGATTGGACCAGCAGAACTCCACACATGAAGAGTGCAGCTGGGGGCTCCACACCGACCGGACACTGTGCATTGGGAACTCACAGTTCCCACATAGGTGCTGAGACAGATTTGGGGGACTGAGGTTTTACATCCAAAAGAGGGAACTGTGAAAACTGCAGCTTGGGAGACCCTCCCAGTGAGAGATCAAGGCAAGGCTGTGGGTGCCCAAGGGGTGGGCGTGGGGGGTCTATGTCTCCATTGTCCCAAGACGTCCTCCTTCCCAGCCTCATTAGAAAAGGTACATCCTTCACACTCAGATAAATTCAGATCTCAAGTCTGGTCCAGAAAAGAGAAAGGTGCTGGAAAGACACTGCCCCCTGGTGGGTGAGTGGCCAGTGAACGGGCCAGAGCTGAGGGAGGGTGAGCCCCGGGGCTCCTGGGGAGGCTGAGAGTCTGGGAGGAAGAGATGGAGGCCCCAGGATGGGGGGGGGGGGGAGCAACCAGGCACTGGCCTGCTCACACCCTGGGTAACGGGCAGGGGTGGGTCACCATCAGGAAGGATGGGCACTGGGGTCTAGCAGGGGGGCCCCTGAGTCACAGGCCCTGGATGTCACCTGGACCCTCACCACCTCTTCTCCCCTAGTCCAGGGACTGGAAGACGGCGGGCAGCACCAATGGGGCCAGGGCCACACTCCACTGCCAAGCCTGGACGTCTGTGCCTGGGCCTGGGCCTCCTTCTGATCATCGGGCTGATTGTTCTTGTGTGTGCAGACCTGACCGCCACCAGATGACTTTATAGTTTGTGCAGGATAGCAGAGGCTATTGCCCATGGCGGGCACCCCACGAGCTCCCCTGTCCACTGCTGGTCCTGCACCTGGGGCTATGGCCCTGCCCCTGTCCCCACCCTTTTAAAAATCAGTTTATACCTGAATATTCCTTGGAAGGACTGATGCTGAAGCTGAAGCTCTAATACTTTGGCCACCTAATGTGAAGAGCCAATTCATTGAAAAAGACCCAGATGCTGTGAAAGATTGAGCGCAGGAGGAGAAGGGGGCAATAGAGGATGAGATGGTTGGATGGCATCACTGACTCAATAGCCATGAGTTTGAGGGAGATAGTGAAGGACAAGGAAGTATAGCGTGCTGCAGTTCATGGGGTCCCAGAGAGGTGGACATGAGCTGGGAACTAAACAACAATACCTGTCAACAATTGAATTCAACACGCGTGCTAAGTCACTTTAGTTGTGTCTGACTCTGTGCGACCCTATGGACCTAGCACCACCTGGGAATGCTCTCTTTTTACCTAGAGCAGACAGGAGGCTCCTTCCCCCAGGATCCTGCTGGCCAAATGCTCCACCTTTGGGAACCTCAGCTGTGCAGAGGGCTGCCAGAGCAGCCAAGGAGAGAAAGGCTTTTATGCTCAGTGACTCAGTCGTGTCCAACTCTCTGTGACTGCGTGGACTGTAGCCCACCAGGCTCCTCTGTCCATGGGATGCTCCAGGCAAAAGTACTGAAGTGGGTTGCCATTTCATCCTCCAGGGAGTCTTCCCGACCGGGATCAAACTCGCGTCTTCTGCATTGGCAGGCAGATTCTTTACCACCAAGCCACAGAGGAAGTCCCAGAATGGTAGCAAATCTGAAATTTGTTTTGAAAACTCTACCTTATCAAAAGCGATGGGATTTTTCATACACAACATGGCTAATTATAGGGCTTCCCTGGTGACTCAAGATGGCTCAAGGAGACCCGGGTTCGTTCCCTGGGTCAGGAAGATCCCCTGAAGAAGATAATGGCAACCCACTGCAGTATTCTTGCCTGGAGAATTCCATGGACAGAGGAGCCTGGCGGGCTACAGTCCATGGTGTCACAAAGAGTCGGACATGACTGAGTGACTAAGACTTTGACTTTGATGGCTAACTATATGACCCAAAACATGTAAACCTATTCCCATGTATCATATTCATGTTCCAAACACAAATTAATCCTATCCAGCATTGGAATTGGCACACTTGTCACCTCAACTGAAAGACAGATGGGAGACAATAAAATGACAATGAAATCGTATCAAAGAGACGGAAAGTAACAGAATATCTAGATATAGTCAGAATCTCTTTTCTGAAGTCCTAGAAGAAAGTTTTACTGTTCTGCCTGATTTTCTCTAATGGGTCTAGGCATTGTGATGCCATCTCATTTTGGATGTAACCGTGAAGTAATCTATTAACTGCACCTACACAAAACTGGAAAACACTATTTATAAAGAGTACTGTAAACATGGAATTATGATGTGCAGTATGTTTTTTCTTGCTTCATCCCTGCCAGAAAGATGAAAGTGAGTCTTTAATTATGGCAAAATGTAGCTTCCCTCATTGGCCACGCACCCTTAGGGTGACATTCAGACTAAAGAATTCTTCACATCAAATGAAATTGGAGTAATAGCTATAAAACATATTAAACACCAAAAGCTGCCTAAAATACTGTTTATTCTGAATGAGAAGGAAGAGTGTAAAAATCAACTGTTACCAAACTTACCTACAGGGATCTTTAAAATAAGATAAATGAGTAGTATTCACCCTACGGAAGGAAGGGAATTCATGCTATAGTGTGGCTGGACTTTGAGGACATGATGCTCAGTGGAATAAGCCACTCACCAAACAGCATATCCTGTCTGACTCCACTCACACAAGGACCCTGGAGGGGTCAGATTCACTGACACAAGAAGTAGACGGTGGGGCAGGGGCTGCAGGAGGGCAGGGGAGAGGAGTGAGTGTTTCCGGGGACGGAGTGTCCTTTCGGGAGGGTGAGCAAGTCCTGGAGGTGGATGGTGCTGGTGGTTGCACCACAGTGTGAATATGCTTAATGCCCCTGAGATGCCCTCTTAGACATGGCTAAGACGGTAATTTGATGTGTGTTTTACCACAGTTAAGAAAAAGATGAAGTCTCGTGCCAATAATCTGATTAATGATTAGCTCAAGTGTTCTTCTCAGGTTGGAAACCAGGCCTCTGTTTAGCCGGAAGGGCTGCTGGCAGGACCTTGGGACTAGCAGTGCCACCGGGGAGAATTGGGACCATAAAATCACATTGAGGTCTCAGGCACCCAACAAGGTCCCAGACAACCAACCAATTCAGCAACAGGAAATAGAAAGTACTGAGAAATAGAAACTACCCCACAATAGGACCGCCCACTAAAAATCCACTGGCATCTCAGACTATCTAACAGGAAACTCATTTCTCAAACTTTCCTTTTACCATCAGCACTAGGTTCCCTCTAAGCCAGAGATGATCAAGGAGGAGCACGAGGTGGCCATGATGGGGGCGCCCCAGGGCCAGGCGCCCATGACGACCACGGTGATCAGCATCCCCAGGGAGACCGCCGTGCCAGACCACATCGTGTGGTCCCTGTTCAACACCATCTTCATGAACTGGTGCTGCCTGGGCTTCGTGG